CACAACCTGTATCATCTTGGATATGAGGGAGGGAATCTTCTATGGGGGTGGTCTCTGAGTTCAATTAAAATAATAATTAAAATAATAATATGGACTATTTTATAAAAAAAAATAAAAATAAATGAGGGCTCAAAGACTATAATCGTGCTTTTTACCTCTGTGGACTGCTGGTGGATCTACCAAAAAGAATGGGTTCATCCACTTCGCGTTATGAACTTCATATTTTTTAGTCCAATTGTGGGATTTTGATCCCTGATTATCCTTCATTCTGATGTGATACAGTGTATATTTGACGTTGTTTGCCAAACCAAATTGTTTTGCAAGCAAATGTGGTGCATGATGCACCACATAGTTGTTGGCAAAAATGGGACTAACCCGTCTAACCCAATCGATATTGGACTGGAGGTCACCGGGTAATTCCCACGTCATGTATGGCCTCCAATGAATATCCTGTCAAAAAAGACATAAATTAAATTAATTCTAAACATATACTATAATATAATAACTTCAATTTATTGATAGAAAAGACTGTAAATTAACTTCAATACCTCATCCTCAAGGCTTTCAAGAGCATTCCTCAGAGCCCCCTTGTAATTGACCCTTGTATTCTTTGATACTTTCTCCGAACAAGTCATTATCCATTTCAATGGATAATCCACTCGAGCAAGCTCCTCGAGCTCCTCCCTTGTAATCTCAACCCCTAGGATCGTCCATAATTTTGGAATCCGGACGAGAAAAAAAGCCTGCACACACAAAATAATAGTTTAGAAGTTGTATATAATGGTAACAATGCAAAATAATACTACTACTTACCAAGACTAGCCATAAGTTGCCACCCTCCTTATTTTTCTTTTTTCTACCATGAAGGAAAGCAAGAACAGCAGCCCCCCAAGCATGAATTGAAGAAGTGTTGTAGGGGTTTTCTAAGAGTGAGGCAAGGCTAGGGTAGATGCCATCACCATTTTTAGTTGGCATGACAAAATGCCAAATAATGATGAGCAACAGAGCTCTCATCCTCTTTTCCTTATTCTCAGTAGAATTGTAGACAATACGGTTTAAGTGGGATATTTTGACCTTTTTTGAGTCCTCCCCGAAAAATTTTTTGTAACTTAAATGGGAATTCTCTCCCACGAGGACAAGCTCACCATTAATGGGCAAACGTAGAAGGTATAGCACATCTTCGAGTGTTATACCCATCACGTGCCCGTTAATGGTAAACATGGAAGTTTTGGCAGTGAAAAACTCATAAATTACACTTATAAAAGGCCCCAAAATATGAACATCGGGCAATCCTAGCATATGAAAGAGTCCTCCTATTTGCATTAGTTCATGAAAAAAATCAGGATCATTGCTCTGCAAATATTTGCCAATGCTGTATAGCTTGCCAATCTTTCCATGACCAACAGTCATCCTAAGAGAAGACAAGAAGAGATTAGAACAACCCATTCATCACACATTCTTGTCGCGTCCGCGACGTATTTCGTGTCCGCGACACTGGGACAACATTCTCTGTCCAATCTAGAGGTCCCAGTGTCACGTTCGCGACATTTGTCGCGGCCGTGACAAATAATTATGTCAATACAACGATTATTTAATCCTTTTTTGTATGAAAAAACGAATATATATTCGTTATTTTGCAAAAAAAAAAAATATGCGCTCGAAAAATATTCTCATCTCGTCCTTCACAACTTCCGTCACAACTTCCCTGACTATAGTTCGAATATTTTCAGCATCCAAAACTTGGGGTTGTGGTGGATCGGATGGAGATGTATCATTTTTTTCTTCATCCTCTTCCTTACCATCCTCATCCTCAGCGTCATTTTTTTCTCCTTCTTCTTCTTCCTCATCTTCAGGCACACTTTCTTGATCCTCTGAAGTTATGCCGAAATCCTTCAAGTATGAAGTTTCAACTTCATCACTTGAAGGTTGTAACGTTCGTCGAACTTGAACCTGATTGTAGAATAATTAGTTTTATCAAAACTATAAGAATAAATAAGATGAATTATCCATAACTAAAATTACCTCCGACGTGTTGAAAAACGTAATAAGTTGCTCGCTTCGCACATGTTTGTCCATTTTCCAACACATTATTCTCGGAAGTCCGCCAGTAGAACATTGTTCAACAAATTGTCTTCCTAACTCAGGCAGTGCCTCAAATGCCCAAACCTGATTAGCAAACAACAAAACAAAATTCAGAATACAACTAACATAAATAAATAAGAAATATAAACATATATTTATATGAAAAATACCATCATAGCTAGGGGAAATCCGTGAAGAGAATACGTTATCGACTTTGGGTTTTTTGTTTTACCGAAACTGTTCGGCTTAAACAACTTCACAGTGTACCCATACGACAAGTTTCCCCAAGGATAACTATTGAAATGCTCCAAATCTTCAACAAAATGGAACCATTTTTCATCTACGAGAGTCCGACACTCTGCAGACAAAATCACGTGCTCGAGGACCGTGATAAGCCCCAATTTGTATTTCAAGTTTGCATCTTCCTTCTTCTTCAATTCATCAAATTTCTCGAGCAAATCCTTCCTCATTATCTTCCCACGCTTCTTTTTGAATAGATGCAAAAGCGAACTACTTCTTTCGGGGACCTCGTACTCGGGATCATCCACGATCTTTAATCCGGTTACAAGAGAAAACTCTTATAACCCGAGTCTAGCTTGGTTTTCTCCGAACTTGAACCACACGGCATCATTTTCATTGTCGGATGA